GTCTTAATGACCCTCGTATTGTAGATAGTCTTAATGACCCTCGTGTAGTAGATAGTCTTTTTAGTATGATAATAAGATGTTATCTTCATTATAGAATAATAAGAAAATATTATAACCTTTATATTATAATTAATAAGGTAAAAGGACCCCAATGGAAATAAGTCACTCTGTCTGACTTTTTTGGGTTATCCTAGGTTCTCTACACATACGCTGCTATGTATGATAATTCTATGTAACTGTATTGTGTATACCTGAATAAATTTACTTACTTACTTACTTACTTTTTATGTTCCCATCTGTTGTAGAAAGCTTCCAGGTTTTCTATGAAAGCAGCTTTGATGTTGACCTCTTTTAATACCCTTGTGATTTTAGTCCACAGATTTATCTCATTTGGGCATACCCAAAAACACTTCCCTGTTTTAATACTGCTTGTAGCTAGTTCTTGGATATCTGCACAAGGGGCGTGACACCAATTTCCACAAAAATGACAATTTATCCATGTGGAAGCCCGTTTGTTTGATTGACTGCAGACTACACAGAGCTTCATAATGATTTGAATGGTTGATTTGCTGTAATTCTACTAGCAACCTCTTGAATACTCTATTAATAACCTCCTTAAATGAAGCTCTAGCTATTTGTATTTCTATTTCTAACTGTATTTGTATATTGGACAGCTTACCGTGTACGTTCCTGATTTATATTTATTGTTTGTGTTTGATAAGGGCGCCTACAGCCCCATCCGTATACAGTCTGCTTTATTGTCCAAAGAATCCGTTTGAAACCAGTCAAGGGTTCGGACCAGTCAATGGTTCGGACCAGTCTGATCTGATCAGTGGATCACTTATTTAAAAACATACTGGTCGGTGATTTGGGCTAACACATGAAGGATCTACTGGAAATTATCTACCCGAGTAATATGTGATTTGATTGATACAAAAGTATAACTTGCGTGTTGAAGAACCGGTGATTGCTGGCACCTCCTACAATGACGAACGGTCGAGCCTCAATCCTTGTTTATCAAGCGCTGTATCTAGCTTTTCTAGGTCTTTTTTTTCGTCTCCACCACAATAAATGCTATATTATCACTATAGTTGACTGGTGGAAATTTTGGAGGAAGGACGCTTTTTCTGTAGTAATAATTGCTTCTCGTTATGTATATTGCGACCGCTGGTAACTACAGGTTATATGAGATTCATAGTATACGTCTGGTATTTCAAGAAAAAAGAAACTAATGAAAGTCACTCCACTCCACTAAGTACCATTATAATACTGGTTAGTTGCTACTACAACACTGTATTCTGCTATTCACTGGTATCACTAGATTATATGCGAGTACACTAGCAGGCCAGAAAGATTATTAAAACAGCTGACCAGTCCAAACCATACCCCCGGCCGGGATTGAACCCGCGGTCATAGAGTCTCAAAACTGGAGTTTTGAGACTCTATGACCGCGGGTTCAATCCCGGCCGGGGGTATGGTTTGTTTGCAATCGTGTCATTACGATTTCTTGAGTCAAGCTGACCAGTGTGGTAACTTTCTGGCGACTTCTGGCACCTGCCTCTATAGGCTTATCACTTCATTTACAAATTCACCTGTTTTCAAATGACACTTTAGCCTTTATCATCTATATGCTAGGGAGCCACTGTAGTATACACTATACACTATATATACACAATGTTATCAGGGAGACTTTCCTCTGACAAAGAAAAGTTCTATTATTATTATTTTACACACGGAACACAGGCCTAGGTATGATAAAGCTCACGCTAACATTAACAATTATTTATCTGCAGTTTTATTCTAGTCAAGGGAAGCGCTAAACCCGAAGGGTTTATACAGTACCTGGGATGCATTCAAGTGGAGAATAAGGCCTTTTTTCTTGGATCAAGAGCCCTGAATTGACATGGAGGTACCTCCTTTGATTGTGGTAAATAGTAACATCTATCTGTTACCTTAATAAGCGATGCCCAGATGATCAAGACTTCTCAGCACCATCAACACATATTACGCCGAGTAATGCCAGTAAAGTGGCGCCCAGTGGTGGTGAGTGGTGCTGGTGGCGCCACTAGACTCCACCCTGCACCGCTCCTCTGATTATTGGCGCCAATTCCCCGTTTTCTATAATTTTCCCGCCAAAACGAGTCAAAATAACCAAATCGCCTACATAATTATTATTATAATCAAGGGGGAAGCGCTAAACCCGGAGGATTATACAGCGCCTGGGGGGGAGGATGTGGAAGGCATTCAGGCTTAATTCGGGGAACTGGAGCACAGATCCAATTCCCTAAATCAAGAGCCCCTCACCAACATCAAGGAACCTTCCCTGAGGGGATTTCGCCTACATAAGAAACGTAATTTTTTTTCCCCTATTATCAAAAAACTTACTAAGAGCATCTATGTGAATAAAAAAGTGAAGCATTTAGGTTAGATCCAAGGAAGGTGAAGACATGTTAAGTCAAGAGATGGTGTAAGTGGCGCCACTGTCGCCATCCTGCCGCCTCCCACCTCCTGTCGCTAATTCCCATTTTCTGTAACTTATTTCCCGTTTTCTATACATAGTTCTATACTGGTGAGCACTAAAACCTTAAGGGTTACATAGCTCCGGGGAAGGGATGGAAGACATTTACACTTGATTCTTGGAAATGAAACAAAGTTTAATTTCTTATATCAGGAAACCTATCTTGAAACTTCTGGCGGGAAGGACAAAATTAATGGCAATATTTTAATTAAATTATAATGTGTAAATGACGTAATGACATCCTCTGAACTTTCATATGACAAATTATATAAAAATATTATCTACAAAACATTAGCTCCATTTTCTACAAATAAAGAGACTATTTTTTTTATTTCAAAATTTTACTTTCCTAAACAGTTAATACATCACTAAGTCACTTAATAATGTTTCCAACATAACTAGGTTCGACCCTTGGAGTTTACCTGGAGAGAGTTCCGGGGGTCAACGACCCCGCGGCCAGGTCCGTGACCAGGCCTCCTGGTGGATCAGAGCCTGATCAACCAGGCTGTTGCTGCTGGCTGCACGCAAACCAACGTACGAGCCACAGCCCGGCTGGTCAGGAACCGACTTTAGGTGCTTGTCCAGTGCCAGCTTGAAGACTGCCGGGGGTCTGTTGGTAATCCCCCTTATGTATGCTGGGAGGCAGCTGAACAGTCTCGGGCCCCTGACACTTATTGTATGGTCTCTTAACGTGCTAGTGACACCCCTGCTTTTCATTGGGGGGATGGTGCATCGTCTGCCAAGTCTTTTGCTTTCGTAGTGACCCCCCCAATAGTTAGGCTATGGTATTTTTCAATATTCATCTAGAAGCTTCTAGATGATGACTCGACCCCCGCAACCTCAACTAGGTGAGTACGAGGCTAAATTGTCCTGGAATATATTTTTCTAAGTCATTTTACTGCGCGAGTTTATCAACGATCTACTGAACCATTAACACGTTTACTCTGCTGATCTTACCAATTTATATAAACTATATTTAAAATTAGGCTAACATTAACATACAATAATTTATCTGGATTTTTTATTCTAATGAAAGTGTGGTGTTTGTGTGTTAGTTTTTTTAATGTTTGATGTCGTAAGTGTACGAGTTAGTATTTTTATGTTATATTAAGTTCCATCAAACACCTTAAGTACTGGGAGCGCCTGGAAGCACTTGACTTGTACTCACTGGAGTGCAGGCGAGCGAGATACATAATCTACACCTGGAAGATTCTGGAGGGACTGGTCCCTAATATGCACACAGCAATCACTCCATACGAAAGCAAAAGACTTGGCAGGCGACGCAACATACCCCCAGTGAAAAGTAGGGGCGTCACTGGTACACTAAGAGAAAACGCAATAAGTGTCCGGGGCCCAAGACTGTTCAACAGCCTCCCACCAGCAATAAGGAGCGTTACGGGAAGACCCCTGGTTGTCTTCAAGAGGGAACTGGACAGATACCTAAAGACGGTGCCGGATCAGCCCCTGATTCACCGGGAGGTCTGGTTGTGGACCGGGCCGCGGGGGCGTTGACCCCCGGAACTCTCTCCAGGTAAACTCTAGCTGTTTACTTCGATCAGCTATTGCTTACATCGAATCAGCTGTTGAACTTTCTCAGCAGGTTCTAAGTAAACCAGCTGTTTAAACTGATCAGTGGAGGAAGAGGAGGAAAGGAAAAAGAATTATTATAATCAAAAGTAGCACTAAACCTACGAGGGTCATATTATAATCAAAGAAAGCGCTAAACCGACAAGGGTCATACAAAGCTGTACGAGGGTCATAAAAAAGAGGAGGAAATTTATGTTCTGAATTTTTATTTACATAATCACCCCCGCAAATTCGCGTTTCTGAATTCACGGATTTTTCCTTAGAACTCAACTAATCGTTCTTGGAAATCCCCGCAAATTCGTGGATTTTTTTATGTCTTTTTTTTTTGGCAATATCTAGCGAGTAAGTAGGTACCTGGGTGTTAGTCGACTGGTGTATACCCCATCCAGTATGGAGGAGCACTAAACCTATAGGGATTATACAGCTCCTGTGGGGTAAGGGGGAGATGGAAGGCATTCAGGCTCAATCCAGGGATTATTATTATTATCAAAACCTGGCACTAAATATACTGGGGTCATACACCTCAATCCAGGGAACTGGAGCACAGATCCAATTCTCTAGATCAAGAGCCCCCACCAGCATCAAGTAATATACAAATATTCCTTTAATTTAATTTTATATTCTGTCAATAGGTCTTTCCTAATTGCATTGTTCTTGAAATCTTCACTTTTCTGTCCCTTGAAATTTTTCAACAATTCTTTCCATTATTTGTGGGGAAGCACTCAACTCAGAAGAATCATATAGCTTCAGGAAACTGAGAGACAAGGAGTAATCAGGTTTGATCTCAGACAGGAGAGGGCAGGGGCAATTCTTTAGTTCAAGAATACTTCAACTAAGCTTCCAGCCCACATCATGTTACAGTGTAAAAGGCATAAAAAAAGACATGCAGTGTTGTCAGCAAATTAGTTTTATGACAAGATTTTTGGTAGAAATTAAACCAATATAAAATGTACTACACATATGTGAAGTCCTCAATAAAACTTAACCAATAAATGTATGTAACAAAAATATACAGTGGTAGAACAAAAATGTTCCAATAGCTACCAGGAGAAATATTGAGATTTTTTCATAGAAGCTATATTATTTACGTCTCCAAGACTACAGGTCCTCATACCTCACACCAGAGATAGAACCCATATATATATGTATATGTATAATGAAAAAATATACTGTATTACAGAAACAATTTTGGTTACATAAACATTTGAATTTTCATTTGAATATGATTAAATAAATTGAGCAATGTTTATCTCATATGACACATTATTCATAAAGCATCTAGATGTGCTGGACAATGTCACTACCTATTTCTGATTACTTATTTCTAGTTACAGAGGCATGCCTGTTCTCATTTGTATTCTATCTTCAGCATTTAGTTTGACAGTTTTTTGTTTCCAGTTGTTGAGCACATTCTGTCTTACTTAGCTTTGGATTCATTTTATTCATTTACCACTAAATGTGAAAAACATTATCTAGTGTTCTTTTAGTACTGTTTTTCTTTATTTTATAGTTGCAGAGTTGTATTTTTTAATTGGAGCTATATTTTTTATTTTCTTGTTTCATTTTATGATCGTATGTCATTTAACCAGTGATGCGTATTCATAAGAAGCAATGTAGACATTGCTTACCCTAAAAAAATTTGTCCCTTCGAAATGAATATCTTTGTTTGGTTAACATATTATTAACTATCATTTTGCTTTTTTGTTATTTATGTTTCAAAAAATTTAATCCTGGTATAAATAATGGTCTGAGGGAAACCTGCAAGACAAGCATGTGGCATTTTAAAATCTGTTTCTCAAAAGCAACACTGGATTTGTAGTGTTAACTGTTGCAGTAATGACTGTTTATGACTCAGGAAATCATGACATGACTGCAAACAAATCACAGAACTGGCCTGGGAGTTCTAGGACTATCCTGCTATGGGTTCAAGCACCACCCATTCTGCTGTACCTGGATGTTAGCCAACTGGTGTGGGTTGTATCCTGGGGACAAAATATACATAATTTGCCTGAATCACGTTTCACAGTCATTGCCAAAGCCATAATTTCCTGCACTTGAGTCTTTAGGAAAACTAGAGAAAATATCGAGAATTGTTTCCAAACATATGCTCCCAGAAAGCAAATGAAGGTATTGTGTGTCAGTGGGGATGGGAAGCAGCTGTGCCTTACACAACACTCAACCCTTAGGCTCAACTTGGGTCAGAAGGGGATAAAAATTCCATGGCACCGACTACTAAGATTTTGCACCTAACTTGGTTCTTCCATGCTGACTGAGCATGTCATCAAGGCTTCAAGTGCTATGCAAAAATGGATGCACTTTTCAGTCGTGCTTAAGACAAAATCACACTATGTAGTGTTGTATTACACAAATAACCTGCGCATAAGAGAAAGAAATTTATGACGACATTTCAGTCTGACTTGAACCATTAACTAGTCACACATATAGTATGTGTCTAGTTAATGGTTATTGTTCCAGTCATGGCACTGTGTCTTTTTTACTGTCTGGCAGGCCGGACTTGAGTCCTGGAGATGGGAAGTAGTGTCTGCACTCTGAACGAGGAGTGTTAATGTTGCAGTTTTATAACTGTAGTGGAGAGCACCCCTCTGGCAAGGCAATGATGGGGTGAATGATGAAAGTTTTTCTCTTTTGGGCCACCCTGTCTTGGTGGGAATCAGTTGACGTGTTAATAATAAAAAAAAATAATAAAAGAGGATGTACTGTATTATATTGCTGGGAAGCACTGAACCAGTAGGGATCATACAGTCTGGGAAGTATCAGCATTAAGGACCCTCCCATGAGTGGGGGGGATAGAATACAATAAATAACGAATTACAGTAATTTAAAACCTCAGAATCTTGAAAAATTTGCTCTAGCAAAAATCTGTTGTTCCTGCACTTTCAACTGTGACTGTATAACATACCCAGGTGTGGTATTATGGAATGTACATAGAAAGTTCACCAGGTCTACACGTTCATGGTACTGGCACAATGCACACTTTTAATAGGATGCCTTGTTTTAAGAGCATACACAAATATTCTGAGTTTCGCATCACTGCAGTCGTATTTAATATACAATAAAAAATTTTTTACACAATAAGATACCATCTTGCTGTTGGTAACTAATTACAAGGTTACAAAAACTAAATTAACCATTATAGATTTAAAAAATGCCAGAAAGCAATGAGCATATACCTGAAGCATGGCCAAAATATACAGTACAGTATAATACTGCCTACCTACTGGAACATGTAGTTCTAAATCTGCTCAAGGAAATGTATTTTATAAATGAGATATTGTAGAATATAGAAAATAATTCCAGCATAAAAGTACCATAAGCACAGAAAAAATTGTTGTAATGTATCCAAGATCAAGAGTTTACAAGTTGTAGTAAACATAACTAATATACTGTATCAGAGGAAGACCAGCAGACATTTTCCCGAAAGACCTTCAATAAAACTGGCTAGGAGTCAATGTAGGTCAACTTGAGAGAGGGATTATTAGTCATGGAGAACTGCTAAACAGGGTTAGGAAAAAATCCTTTGTGTAATACTAAGTAGGTTCCTAGAGTGCATTGTTTAAAGTTCCCAAGAATCAATACATGATTACAACTCTCCCCCGGGCATTTGTGAGAAAAACAGCCAAGTTTTGTAAAACATTATCTTTAGTTTTTGAGTCATTATAAATTAAATGGCCAGATCTTATTTAAAATGTAATCAAAATCATTAATATATTCACAGGAAGCACTAAAGCTGTAAGGGTCATTATCATTAAATTTGTGGGAAAGTGCTAAACCGACAAGGGGCATAGAGTGCCTTGGGAATGAGACAATCTGGTTTGATCTAAGGGAGGGGAGGGGAAACTCCATTTCGTTGGATCAAGAGTTCTTCACCAGCATCAAGGAATCTCCCTTGAAGAGTGCAATCATAATGAAAAAACTAATTTTTTTTTTACCTAAATTTACAACAGCATATCATTCTGATGAATATGTTTTTTCATGTGTAATTTCAATGAGCCATAGTCTCTACTCTTGTAATCACACTTTTCACATGCATAAGGCTTTTCACCTGTATGTATTCTCACATGTCTCTTCAATGCTTCACTATAGCTAGTCTTGTATGCACAAATGTTACAGCTGTATGGTTTCTCCCCAGTATGGGTTCGCATGTGCTTTGTGAGGTTACTCCTCCACTGAAAAGTTTTCCGACACTGAGGACATACAAACCCAGCATCAGCTTCGAGGATAAGGTTTTGTTTTCTTTCAACTGTTCTTCCACTGTCTGAATGAATTACAGAATTTCCTTCAGTAACAGTAGGATCAATTTTACCCTGAAATGAAAAATAAAAAATCATGAATAAAAATATGACAGAGTATAAGCACTCTACATAGGTTTGATACACATCTATGCCTAAGGTTACTACAGCCCCCTTATTCCCACACATATCTGTGGAGTAGGGTTTTAAGGATTTACTGGTTTTGAAGGTTCCACCATTGCTGCCTGGCCAAAAGCCTGGCCAACCAAGCTGTTGTTGCTAGCAATCCAAATACCTATCACAACTTGGCTGATCTGGGACTTTCAACTGATACTGGTCCAATTTTCTCTTGAAACCTTTTACCTTCATAATATTTCTTACACAGTATCTGTTGGTAGCAGTTTGAAGTCTTTGACTATAGATGACGACAAAAATTATCTCCCGTTCTCCAGGATTTGTATGATATCAATGGGTTTAGCACTTTTTGAAAGTGTAATGACAATAATCATGCTGCTGATATTTTAAACATAAGTGTACAGGTTATTGTTAAAAGTACCAGACTATTAATAATATTTTTATTACTACAAGTATGTACAAGGTATACAAGCCTAGCTGATATCAGTGACATACTAGTACTATATAGAAAGCTGCTTGTTATGCAGAGCATTTCGGGCCAACTAGGTCAGTGTTTTCCCAGGATGCGACCCACACCAGTCAATTAACACCCAGGTACCCATTTTACTGATGGAGAACATAGACAACTGGTGTAAAGAAATATGCTCAATGTTTCTACCCTCGCTGGGAATCGAATGCTTTTCACTAGGTTTACTTTACATCTCTTCCCATATCTGTCACTCCAATTATGGAATTGCACACACTGAGGCTCTGACTCTGAAGTACTTTGCATGTACAGTATTTATCAATGAACTTGTAAGCAAATGATAGTGTGTTGGGTAATGGGGTAGCTTTTAACCCTTTCAGGGTTTCAGCCGTACTAGTACGGCTTACGCACCAGGGCTTTTGACGTACTAGTACGCCTAAATTCTAGCGCCCTCAAATCTAGTGGGAGAAAGCTGGTAGGCCTACATATGAAAGAATGGGTCTATGTGGTCAGTGTGCGCTGTATAAAAAAAAATCCTGCAGCACACAGTGCGTAATGAGAACAAAAAAACTTTGACCGTGTTTTTGGATTAAAACAGAGACTTTGCACTGTATTTTTGTATGGTATTTATTGTTGTATTCTAGTTTTCCTGGTCTCATTTTATAGAATGGAAGACATATTACAGAAATTGAGATGATTTTGACTGGTTTTACAAAGAAAACTACCTGGAAATTGCGCTCAAAGTAGCAGAAATGTTCGATTTTTACGAAAGTTCAAAAGCAAACAAATCATGCTATGTGTCCAATACACATCAACTGGCGAGTCTAATATTCTTTCACAAGTACGCTGATAATATTTATGCCATTTCTACACCAATGCAGTAGTCTGCATAACAGTAAATCTTCTATTTTTTGTGAGAATAAAAATTCAAAATGGAAAGCAAAATAATGTAAGAGGGGCCTGGGGACGTGACTAATGAACAGAGGAAATGTTATTTTAGTGCCAGGAATGTCTTTCTTGTTTATTCTGGACCCTATTCGGAAATTGGCATTTTTTGAAATTTGTGAAATTGGCAAAGTTGCTAAATTCTGACCACTGTATTGGATAGTTGAAATCGATAAATGGGTGGTTTCTTGTACTCATTCGATAGAGAAAATGGAGTTCTAGCGAAATAGTTATGATTTTTGTCGACAAGTACACTGGAATTGGCCGAAAATAGGGCTCAGTGTGCAAAATCGCCGATGCATAAACATCGTTGAGACTGCTAACTTCGCGAGAGCATAATTCCGTAAGTTTTCTATCAAGTTTCATACTTTTGGTGTCATTATGATCGGGAAAAGATTCTCTATCTTTTCGTAAGAATTTTTTTTTTTTTTTTTTTTTAAATTTGGCCGACCCTGAGAGGAAGTCTCTGAGAGGGCCTGCCGACCCTGAAAGGGTTAAAAAAAGCAATGAATCAAATATGAAGTGTGATTTGTCAGTTTGTCTTTGCTGATAACAGTGCTTTTGGGAGATTCAGAGAAGTTGTGAAGATTAACAAGAAAGGTGAAAGCATAGAAAAGAGCAAGAAAATAGTAACAAAAAATCTAGGCAATGAAAGATTGAATGACATATTTGAGGAAGCTTGGAGGAGCTGGCTGTACTATATTCTGATACAGAATACTGGAGTGGACATATTGGCCAATGCGTTTATGAAAGACATGGTGAAATGGAAAAGGTATGGGGGTAAAAAACAGTTTATGGAATGTTGTAAAACCTACAAAAACGAAGAAGCTTAACATTGGAGAAAAAAGGGAAATGTATTAAGGTAAAGTGATACCAACACTTTTTTGTGTGGGTGTAAAGGATTATCTTTGAATATTGCAGCAATCCCACGTTCAATATGACCAGGCCGCAATGCCCCGTGGCCAGGTGGCTAAAGCTCTCGCTTCACACGGCAAGGGTCTGGGTTCGATTCCCAGGGAGGGTAAAAACACTGGGCATGTTTCTTTACACCAGTTGTCTATATTCCCCATCAGTAAAATGGGTACCTGGGTATTAGCCGACTGGTGTGGGTTGCATCCTTGGACAAAACTGACCTAGTCTACCCGAAATGCTCTGCATAACAAGCAGCTTTCTACATAGTAGTATGTCACTGATGTCAGCTAGGCCTGTATATCTTGTATGTACTTGTAGAAATAAAGACATTATTAAGCAGTCTGGTACTTGAAGTTCTAAACCGGTTAATATCATACAAAGCCTGGAGAATGGGAGGTAATTTGTTTTGATTCAAGGAAAGGAAAGTTCCAATTCCTTGGATCAAGAGCACTTCCCTAGCATCAAGGCACCCCCAAGAAGGGTCAACCATATGATACTGTACTTACGCTTCCCGGAGAGTTGTCAATTAAGACTTTAAGCATATTGTTGATGTCAGCACTGGAACTTTGACAACTCTGCTCAGTACTTGGGGCCACTGTTGCTTCTCCATTGACTGTATTCAGATTTGTTAATTGACTTTCTTGAAATGAGTAGCCATCCGAGTGATTTTCAGATAACTCCGGCGTTTCTGATTCATAATACTTGACAGGTTCTTCTTTAATTGTTACTTTTTCATTGTGCTTCTTTCTTTTTCCTTTATAGTGCATTCCTCCTCTTTTAGTTGTCTTATTACCAAATCTCATATTAATTTCTGATTCCCTATTCGATTTATGTAGTTTGCTTTTTGTAATTTTATATACTTCTTTCCGTTGTGAATTCTCCCCATTGATTTCACCATCATCACTAAAATCTTCACATGGAACAGCAAGCCCTCGAATCATTAAAATTTCTGCAGCATTTACAAGTTCTGCCAAGTCTGTCTGGGGTACGACAACTTCTCCTAGATACATGAAGTCAAGGAGAGAGACGAGTTCTTTATACTGAATATTATCAGAAAGTATTATAGATCCTTTGTGAGGAACATTTATCAACACATCTTCAAAGTATTCACTGCAGGCTGACAAAATAAATTTGTGCACCCAGTATTCATGGCCATCACATTCAAGTTTGACATCAGCAAAGATTTCCTGAAAGAAAAGTGCAATGATAAGGGCAATTCTGCATGATATTGCTAACACTATATATTCACAGGAAAGTGCTAAACCTTTAGGAGGTCATATGTCACCTTGAGCATCAAGGCACATCCCATGAAGGGTACTGCATGATAAAATTTATTCACTTCGTCATTTCTGCAAAAATTACCATTTTCTTCTAATAATCCTTTGTAAAATATATTGTATGACCCTTTTGGGTTTAGCACTTAGCTTGATCATAATAATACAGTAATAATTTGGAAGATATGCTTCATTCAACTTCTAGTAAATTTATGATAGTATCATGCATTAATATCACTAATATCCAAAGAAAAACTTGTGTAGAATTTTTTCAAACACATCAGTTAGAAACTACTATCACACCTTCATGTACAAGTCTCAAGGGTAATGCTTAAAAAATTTGATAAACAATTGTACATATTAAATATTATATACAGCACTACCTACACCTGTACAGCCTCATACAGTTTAAGATTGCTCTTGATTTTAGCAAAAGTTAAGTAAGTTTATTTAGGCACAGGGACACATAACGACAATTATCATACATAGTGTAAATTACCTAGGATAACCAAAAAAAAGTCAGACAAAGTGATGTATTTCCATGGAGATCCTTGTAATATCTTGTTATTTAAACCTTAAAAGTTAAAACTGCTAAGTAACTCAACTATGTGAAAATCAGGTAAATGAACTATGCACTCTGATGTGCTGCTAAAGAGCAAAATAATATTTGTGGACCCTTGTGGGTTTGGTGCTTAGTTTTGATTGCAATAATAAGAGTAAAAAATTCTAGAGGGATTCAGAGAAGTTGGTTAGTTGAGCTTGAGTTCTAGAGGTGGGAAGTACAGTGGAACCTCGGTACTCAAACTTAATTTGTTCCAGAAGGCTGTTTGAGTGCCAATCTGTTTGAGTACCGAACGAATTTTCCCCAACCAATTTTCTTTTTAGTTGGCTGTTATCACTAATCTTCTTAGGACCCATGGTGACTTATTTATGCAGAAAATATAAAAAAAAAACATCAAAAAATGTTAAGAAACACGATATAGTTTACAGTGAAGTTCTGGCAGGTTGTGTTTGTTTGGTTGAGTGCCAAGCAAACAGTCAACTACCGAGTGATTTTTTTTACTGAACAAAGCGTTCAAATACCGAATTGTTCGAGTAGGGAGCTGTTCGAGTACCGAGGCTCCACTGTACAGCGCCTTCACTTTAAGGATGTGTAGGGATGTTGCAGCTCAGGTCATCTGAAATGTGATTTCCATAAACTGTACTTCTTGTAAGACAGATTGAATGTGAACTTTTTTTTTTAGTCACCCTACCTTGGTGGAAAATGGTACTAAATGTAGTACTATATAGAAAAGGGGAAATGTATAAAATTAGCACCATACAGAAATTTGTGATTGATTCAGTCCTTTCTGCTGTGAATGTTGAAACAATGCAAACAAATAAAAAACAATTTATACATGCCACTGCAATGCAACTGTTATATCTACCTTCTTATATATTTCTTGAATTGCATGAAGAAGCACAGAATGATGGTGGTCCCATTTCACCGATACGGACACTGTTTCTGTCATTCTGATCCCTGTAGGAAGATGTGTGGTATTCAGGATCATTCAAGAAATCATATGATTAACTTATTTAACTATGACTCATGAAATTGTAATAACGCGATTGCAAATCATGGAATGGATGGGGTTTGAGCCCGTGACTGAGTGGCTTACACACTGGCCTGGAGTTTTACCACTCACTCGACATGGGATCAAATGCCACCTGTTCCATGGTTTGTTTAACTTATAATCAAGGTTTTTCCTAAGTATTAAACAGTGTTATACCCTATCAGAATAAAATATAATAGGAGTTTTATAATAATAATAATAATAATAATAATAATAATAATAATAATAAAAAATTAATAATAATCTTTTATTTCTACAAGTAAATGTACAACGTATACAGGCCTATGGAAAAATAAAGACATAAGCAGTATAGCGTGATCGTTTAGTGACAACATTTTGTCCACACTGACCAAATGTTGTCAATAAAAGATCACATTATATTGCTTGTGTGTTTATATCTCCACTATCTGGAGTCTACCTGGAGGTTATTATGGGGATCAATGCCCCTGCGGCCCGGTCCATGACCAGGCTTCCCGGTGGATCAGGGCCTGATCAACCAGGCTCTTACTGCTGGCCGCACGTAGTCCAACGTACGAACCATAGCCCGGCTGATCCGGCACTGACTTTAGGTATTTGTCCAGCTCCCTCTTGAAGGCAGCCGGGGGCCTATTGGTAATTCCCCCTATGTTTGGTGAGAGGCTGTTGAACAGTCTTGGGGCCCTGGACACTTAGGGTGTTTTCTCTTAGTGTACCAATGGCGCCCCTACTTTTAATTGGGGATATTTTGCATTGCCTGCCCAGTCTTTTACTTTCGTAGGGAGTGATTTCTGTATGCAGATTCGGGACCATTCCTTCAAGGATTTTCCAAGTGTAGATTATGATATATCTTTCTCTCATGCGTTCCAACGAGTACAAGTCAAGTGCTTCCAAGCGTTCCCAGTAGTTAAGGTGCTTGACAGAACTTATACGTGCAGTAAAGGATCTCTGTACACTCTCTAGATCTGCAATTTCACCTGCTTTGAATGGAGATGTTAATGTACAGCAGTATTCCAGCCTAGAGAGAACAAGTGATTTGAAAATGATCATCATTGGCTTGGCATCTCTCGTTTTGAACGTTCTCATTATTCATCCTATCATTTTCTTTGCGCCTGTGATCGTGGCACTGTGTTGGTATTTTATACCATTTATTTCCATTGTATACAGGCCTAGCTAACTTCAGTGATATACTACTACAGGAGGGTCCTGGTTATACAGCACAGGTTTGGTTCTGGGCTATTGCTGTAAAGTGAAACATAGCCCTTTTTTCCCTTTCAAATGCATATAAAAACCTAATAACATATACACTATCATGTATTAAATGAGTAATAGAGCTAGGCCTAATACAAATTATCATACATAGTAGCATGTGTGGAAATTACCTTATTCCTAGTACATCTTGTATTGTAACTGCTTTTCATATAGCTGAAATACTTAGCTGTTTCAACTTTTAAGGTTTAAATAAAATATTGCAAGTCACTTTTTTTTGGTTATCCTAGGTAATGTACACACATGCTGCTGTGTATGATAATTTATGTAACTGTATTTATGTGTACCTGTACCTGAATAAACTTACTTAAGAACGATAACCCAAAAAAAGTCAAAGTGACTTACAGTATTTCCATTGGGGTTCTTGTAATATCTTATTATTTAAACCTTAAAAGTTAAAACAGCTATGTAACTCAACCCCTCAGGGAAGGTTCCTTGATGTTGATGAGGGGCTCTTGATTTAGGGAATTGGATCTGTGCTCCAGTTCCCCGAATTAAGCCTGAATGCCTTCCACATCCCCCCCTAAGCGCTGTATAATCCTATGGGTTTAGCGCTTCCCCCTTGATAATAAAAAAAAAAGTAACTCAACTGTGCAAAAATCAATTACAATAAAAGGAGATATACTAGGAATAAGGTAAAGTGAGTTATTTGCATTAACAATAAAGAGAGGATCAGCTTACAGTAATAGGTACATGAATGTTTGCTATACAAGGAAACATGACCAATGCTTCACCCATGCTGGGAAGTGATTCCAGGTCCCTCAGTGTGTGAGCTGAGGAAGCTACCAACCAAGGCATGAGCATATATGAAAAGGTGAGGAAAGCTTCAGTTCTTGGATCAAGAGCCCTTCCCCAGTCAAAACAACAAGTATAAAGTTATGATGGCTTAACCTAGACATTCCTACATTATTATTCTTCTTCTTCGTGGAACAGCACTAAACCTGTAGGGGTCATATAGAGCCGGGGAAATTCAGAGGTAATCAGATATAATCCGAGGAAGAAGAAAATAGCTCTAACTCCTAGGATCAAGAGTCCTTTCAACCACTATTTCCCGAACATCATTTAAGTTCACACTGGTCCTCTAATGTTCAAAAAATTTGCAATAAATGTTTATTAGTTTTTATTCCCACAATATACCAATAAAATAATTATCATAAACACAATATATAAAGAAATTATATACCTGCCTCAGCGTGTTATTACACCCAAATTTTACCGCACACAAGTAACTATTTTATTAATTTATACATCACATTATCTTTATTCAATAAAATAAATTAATGAACCTGTATAGATTGTCATTTATTACACACTGAAATCCCCTCTTATCCTCACCTTCAACCAGTATATCACTTATAAAACACTTACGTAACCACACATATATGTATATTTACCCCATCCTTATAAGGAAAAAAAACCGTGTTATACAAGGGTATAATAAATACAATAAAATATAAATAAATTACTTACTTAATTTTAACAGAGACAACAGAAGACGTCAGGGGCAGGGTTGCCAATCATGCCAACTAAAAGTCGCTAAATTAAGACCAAAACTGCTAAAATTAGCATAAAATAAACAGTTAAAAAATAATAGCTTCAAAAAAGTAGGTAATAATGAAACTTATAGTGTGAACCAATAAAATTTCTGCCAGAAGGGAGTATGAAAGCATGTTAAAGGTTTCCCGTGGCCTGGTAGTTAAACCTTTCGCTTCATAGGGCGAGCCCCGGTTCGATTCCCGGCGAGGGTAGAAACATCGGGCGTGTTTCTTTACACCTGTTGTCTATGTTCCCCATCAGTAAAATGGGTACCTGGGTGTTAGTCGACTGGTGTGGGTCGCATCCTGGGACAAAACTGATCTAATTTGCCAGAAATGCTCAGCATAACAAGTGGCTTTCTATATTGTAGTATATCATTGATGTCAGCTATGGTCTGTATACCTTGTACAAATAAAGATATATTATTATTATTTAGTTTCTGAAAGTTGGTCTGACTTTTTTGGGGGTTATTCTAGATAATTTATACATATGTTACTATGTATGTTAATTGTACTTATGTGTACCTGTACCTCAATAAACTTGCACTACTGTTACTTTCATTTTCATCAAAGCTTGTCATTATTAATAACCTTACAATAAATATACCGTAGAATATGCAAAATAACAAAAGGGAGAGTTGAAGGATAGCTCTAGGCCTTTTGTGTTGCGATCACATCATCAGGAGTTTGCAATGTTGCAAAAATGAGTATAACTTCCTACTCCACTCTGGAACATTGCAAGCTCCTGATGTGCTAGATTGCAACACGAGAGGTCTAGAGCTATCGTTCAACTCCCCCTCTGGTATTTTGCATCTTCCATCACTAGTTCGCGATTACTGCATACCATAGAATATATTAATAAACAATGTTATTAATATTTCTTTGTATTGGTAGCAGTACTTGTTATAAAATAATGGCTAAAACCATGTTGATACAACCCCAGTCATGCTCATTTTCAGTGGCGAGGCTGCATGTTGCACCTTCTATTGTAAGCCTCCAGTGTGCTGATACTTCTTATGACAGACTCGGGAAACTCGTAACAGTAATTTTCCACCCGTGCCGGGGATTGAACCACGGACACTCATTGTGTGAGGCAAGCGCGTTGTCAACAGAGCCACGGGACACTTACTATGTATTACTTAGCCATTCTACACGAAAACTCTGGCTGGTTAAATTTCTTGGTCATGGTGACTACACAGTCTTTCTCGGGAGAGCCAATTCACTCGTCTAACTACCGGTATAATGCTGAGAATTTGATCACCGACTGGACGTGATGGTGAGGCCTCACACACCATGTCCATGGTTCAATCTCCGGCCGGGTAGAAACACTGGGCAGGTTTCCTTACACCTGTTGTTATTGTCCGGGGTTAAAAATCCCAACAAATCCTATTCTACTTCACGGACACGTACAAGACATGTCCACTTACACATCACATTGTGATGTGTAAGTGGATAAAAAAAAGGCCATATTTTACCGATTATTATGATTTGCAATAGTTTTGATGGGAAAACTCGCTTAAAATTATAGCCAGATTGAATTAAAAGTCGCTAAAATGGCGTTGAATACAAGAAAAACAGAAGTTAAACCACATCAAAATCTGCTACATTTAGCGACAAAGTCGCTAAGTTTGCAACCCTGGGACTCAGAGAAATATTTTTCCCCTAGGACGACCAACGCCTCTTTGTGTGACGGCGTTGTTTCTCCCAGAACGACCACCGCCCCGTTGTCTCTCAAAGTAAAGAAATAAGTAAGCAAGTAAGATAGTGAGTAAGCGAGTATGATAGTGAGTGAGCATGTAAGTTAGCAAGTAAGAAAGTGGGTGAGCAGGTATGTAAGCAAGAAAAATAGTTAAAAAATAAGCAAGCAAGCAATATATTAAATAAGCATGCAAGCAAGATTGTGAGTAAGCAAGCAAGCAAGTAAATACGATAAATAATGAGCGAATAGATAAGCAAGTAAATGCAAGAAAAAGGAGGGTAAATAAACCAGCAAGATAATAAACAATCAAACAAGATTTTAAATAAGCAAGCAATATAGTAAATAAGCAAGTAAGATAGTAAATAAACAAGAAAACAAGATAATAAGCAAACAAGCAAGACAGTATACAAGAAAGTAAGATATTAAATAAGTAGGCAAAATAATAAATAAACATGCAAGCAAGATATCAAATAAGTAAGCAAGCAGGACAGTAAATAAGTAAACAAGATAATAAATAAGCAAGCAAGCAAGACTGGGTAACTGAGATGTGGTTCTTGTGTAAGCATGGCCATAATTTACTCCTAAAATATCTAACATTCAGTTAGTTTTAATTAAGTCATACAAACGCAAGAAAAATAACCCAACCTCATAAAATCCGACCTAACATGACTTAGCTTAATTTAACCTTACTCGGCCAGCGGTAGATGCGGGACTGGCGCGCCTTTTTTTGCATGCGATTCATCTTTGTTTACACTCGCTGTGATTGGCCGGGAGGGTCAATGCTAACATCTGATTGGCCCTGACGTGCTCCACGTCCCGAAATAAAGCTGGGATAGAGATAATCAATGTGAGAGCACCTTCAGGAGGATTCCAAATGGAGCAATAAAACTGTTGCTGTCTTCATTTTGTGCTAGCAATTTCAGCAATGTACTGCGTTCTCTCATCCAATATAACTCTCACTCTGCATTTTTCAGCTACGTATATTTCCTTGAGCCTGCCACTCCTTGAGCCTGCCATTCCTTGAGCACACACACACACACACACACACACAGAGGAGCTGTGAATCGACCTCTGCAACCACAATTAGGTGAGTGCAAACACACACACACACACACACACACACACAATAAGGAGAACAGTCGTAGAGCCAGAAATGAATATGCACAGATAAGAAGGGAGGCCCAAAGACAATATGAAAATGACATAGCAGCGAAAGCCAAATCTGACCCGAAACTGTTGTACAGCCACATCAGGAGGAAAACAACAGTCAAGGACCAGGTAATCAGGCTAAGGAAGGAAGGAGGAGAGACAACAGGAAATGACCGGGAAGTATGTGAAGAACTCAACAAGAGATTCAAAGAAGTGTTCACAGAGGAGACAGAAGGGACTCCAGAAAGACGGAGAGGTGGGGCACACCACCAAGTGCTGGACACAGTGCACACAACCGAGGAAGAAGTGAAGAGGCTTCTGAGTGAGCTAGATACCTCAAAGGCAATGGGGCCAGATAACATCTCCCCATGGGTATTGAGAGAGGGAGCAGAGGCGCTATGTGTACCCCTAACAACAATATTCAATACATCTATCGAAACAGGGAGATTGCCTGAGGCATGGAAGACAGCAAATGTAGTCCCAATCTTTAAAAAAGGAGACAGACATGAAGCATTAAACTACAGACCAGTGTCACTGACATGTATAGTATGCAAAATCATGGAGAAGATTATCAGGAGAAGAGTGGTGGAACACCTAGAAAGGAATGATCTCATCAACAGCAGCCAGCATGGTTTCAGGGACGGGAAATCCTGTGTCACAAACCTACTGGAGTTCTATGACATGGTGACAGCAGTAAGACAAGAGAGAGAGGGGTGGGTGGATTGCATTTTCTTGGACTGCAAGAAGGCGTTTGACACAGTTCCACACAAGAGATTGGTGCAAAAACTGGAGGACCAAGCAGGGATAACAGGGAAGGCACTACAATGGATCAGGGAATACTTGTCAGGAAGACAGCAGCGAGTCATGGTACGTGGCGAGGTGTCAGAGTGGGCACCTGTGACCAGCGGGGTCCCGCAGGGGTCAGTCCTAGGACCAGTGCTGTTTCTGGTATTTGTGAACGACATGACGGAAGGAATAGACTCTGAGGTGTCCCTGTTTGCAGATGACGTGAAGTTGATGAGAAGAATACACTCGATCGAAGACCAGGCAGAACTACAAAGGGATCTGGACAGGCTGCAGAACTGGTCCAGCAATTGGCTCCTGGAGTTCAATCCCACCAAGTGCAAAGTCATGAAGATTGGGGAAGGGCAAAGAAGGCCGCAAACGGAGTACAGTCTAGGGGGTCAGAGACTACAAACCTCACTCAAGGAAAAAGATCTTGGGGTGAGTATAACACCAGGCACATCTCCTGAAGCGCACATCAACCAAATAACTGCTGCAGCATATGGGCGCCTAGCAAACCTCAGAACAGCATTCCGACATCTTAATAAGGAATCGTTCAGGACCCTGTACACCGTATACGTTAGGCCCATATTGGAGTATGCGGCACCAGTTTGGAACCCACACCTAGCCAAGCACGTAAAGAAACTAGAGAAAGTGCAAAGGTTTGCAACAAGACTAGTCCCAGAGCTAAGAGGTATGTCCTACGAGGAGAGGTTAAGGGAAATCAACCTGACGACACTGGAGGACAGGAGAGATAGGGGGGACATGATAACGACATACAAAATACTGAGAGGAATTGACAAGGTGGACAAAAACAGGATGTTCCAGAGATTGGACACAGTAACAAGGGGACACAGTTTGGAAGCTAAAGACACAGATGAATCACAGGGATGTTAGGAAGTATTTCTTCAGCCACAGAGTAGTCAGTAAGTGGAATAGTTTGGGAAGCGATGTAGTGGAGGCAGGATCCATACATAGCTTTAAGCAGAGGTACGATAAAGCTCACGGCTCAGGGAGAGTGACCTAGTAGCGATCAGTGAAGAGGCGGGGCCAGGAGCTCGGACTCGACCCCCGCAACCTCAACTAGGTGAGTACAACTAGGTGAGTACACACACACACACACACACACACACACAAACACACACACACAATACGTGCCAGGGGCCCAAGACTGTTCAACTGCCTCCCAGCATACATAAGGGGGATTACCAATAGACCCCTGGCTGTCTTCATGGAGTTGGACAGGCACCTAAAGTCAGTATCTGATCAGCTGGGCTGTGGTTCGTACGTCAGTCTGCGTAAGGCCAGTAGCAACAGCCTGGTTGATCAGACCCTGATCCACCACGAGG